TAAGGCTTCTTTATTATTCTGTGATATCTGAGGCTTTAACTAGAAAATTTACAGGGCAGGGTCTAGAATAATCTGAAAAGTTTATAGTCACATGTACAGACTACTTTTCTTGGAGGCTAAAGTGGGCTTCCTTAATACCACTGTAGTTAGGTTCAAGAGGTAATTGTATCAAGCTGAGGAAAGATCAAAGACCTGGAAAAAACTATGTCATCATTTTAAGTCCTGGCCTCAAATGCCACTCAGTTTTACTAGCATCAAACTGGGCTAGAGTAGTTCTCATCCAGATTCAGGAAGAGGTAATATTCTTAATCCCAATTCTTACGGGGAGGGGAATACCAAAGTCCTATCGAAAACAGACCATCTTCTACATATCAATCTTCTATACGGCCACAATAATCTTAAGGAGAAAGTTTAAGTATGTTCAAAACTTTCAAACTACAGTATAATAGAGAGCTGCTGAAGTTAAGGATTTTTTTGGGGGGGGGTAGCTAGTTATTATTTTTCTGAGACAGGGTTTTTCCATGTAGCCCCTAAACTCACTCTGTAGACTGGCTGGCCTCTCTAGCTCAGAGATCCGCCCACCTCTGCCTCCCAAATTCTGGAATTAAATACATGTGGCACCACCACCCAAATAAGTTAAAGATTTATAAAGCTACAGTATTCAATAAGATGTTACATTGAATCAAGTAAACACAAAAACATTAGTTGAAGACAATGTCTTGAAATAGATTTACACATATTATTATCATTGTCATTACAAGATACCAAGGTAATTCCACAGTAGAAAACAAGTCTTCTCAATAGTCTTAGAAGCACTAGATATTCATGTTTTTATAAAGGTCTACCTTATATCACACACAACAAAACATCTATGTAACATAACAGGAATGTATCACTACTATGCTGAGGAAAATATAATTGAAAACAAAAATTTTTCTGTGGTAATTTTATTACCAAGCCTAATCATTCAACATATGGCTACTGAGGGATTAAGTTTCGTACAGTGCCACATACCTGTAATGCCAGCACTTGAGAGGCAGAGGAAGGAGGACTGCTGAGTTTGAGGCCAGACTGGTCTACACAAAATTCTCTGTTGGTGGTGGGTGAGGTGGGACGGATAAAAATCATAGTGCTGTCTGGTCCACTCAACTTCATCAGTCACTCATTAAACACTGTTCTGTTTTTTCCAGAGCTGAGGACCGAACCCAGGGCCTTGCACTTGCTAGGCAAGTGCTCTACCACTAAGCTAAATCCCCAACCCCACATTAAACACTGTTAAACAAAATTTACAAGCCTTGTCTAAGGGCCCAGGAAAACAAGAATTACCATAAGCACTACAATTATGTAAGACTCAAGATTTCTCAGAAATTCCTAGATATTCTGTTTAGCAATTGCATGGTGTGTGATGTTTACAAGCTTAATGAATTGACTGACTTAACATTAACCAAAATGGAGTAAGAAGCATAACTTTAAAAGTGCGCCACTGGAGTTTTCGTTTGAGTAGGGCGACTAAAAGTACCATCTTATATCTCTACTGTTTTCAGAACCATCAATAAATACAATTAGGAAAGGACCAATGAAAATGAGGGTGTGAGGTGTCTGAGAAACACTACGAGACAAATACACTTCTCTCAGGGGACCAGATTGATTCTGAGAACAGCAACTGAATCTCCCTAGGATACCTAGGTAGGGGCGGCGCTGGAAGGCTGGAGGAGCTGAACAGAGATAACGTGCCAAGGCAGCTTAATCACCAGCCTGAGCATGACCTTGGCCAGGCCAGGCCCCAGAGCACCCTCCTGAAAAGACTCCGCGCTGCCCTGCCCAGGCACTATTGAGGTTCCCACGACACGAGGAACCCAGGAGATGCTCGACCATCCCTCACTCTAGACTAGGAAGGTGGCTGCGCCCCGGCCCTTCCGCGCGTGCTCCCTCCTTTACCTTGACTGGTCGCGGCCATTTTGAGGAACTAGTATCGCAAGGACACAACTGCTGGAACAGGAACAGGCTTTAATCATTCGCAGCTGGCTTCCGGCAGATGGGGCAGATTTTTTCAGTCCGGAGGCAGCAGAAGAGGGCGGGCCTGGCGCAGTGAGACGTCTTTCCTGTCCCGGAGCTTGGAGCTTCAACAGCCTCGGCTGCAGCCCCACACCCGCACAGAGGAATGCTTGCTACCAGTGGTGAAAGCCTCTTTGCATTGGGGATTGACAGGGTTTATTTCAGCTTCATTTATTTATTTCAGATTGTGAGTATTTATGTAAGCAATGAATATATGTTAATTCTGGCTCTCATTTCAGTGTGGAAAACACATCATACACATTTTTAAAGCATTCAACCACATTAATAATATACACTTGTATTATAATGGCTGCATCTTTTCCCCCTTTAAAGTTTATATATATATATATATATATATATATATATATAGATTTATTTTTACTTTATGTATATGCATTTTTTACCTGCATGTGCATGCAGTACTAGAGCACTTCATTCTCTCTCTCTTGTTTTTGTTGTTGTTTGTTTGTTTTGTTGTTGTTTTGATTTTTTGGTTTTTACTGAGACAGGGTTTCTCTGTGTGTTCTTGGCTGCCCTAGACTAGCTTTGTAGACCAGGCTGGCCTCAAACTCACAGCAATGTGCCTGCCTCTGTCTCCACGAGTGCTGGGATTAAAGGCTTGCGTCACCACGCCCGACTCATTGTCCTTTATTCTCCATACATTTACTAGCTTGCAAAAAGAAGAGTCTCAGATGAGGGTTGAAAGATTTTATGGACATAAGGCAAAGGAAATGGGGACCAGTTTATTTCTGTGTCCGTTTAGGAACACAGTAACTTAAGTTCTTTCCTATGACTTAGGCAGCCATGGGTTTTTGGTCCAGTAACAGATACAAGTTCTATCCTGTGGAGCTGGCCATAAATACGAGCATAAAGAGATTGGTTACTCTCCTGACATTTATTCTTCTACCCTACCAGTCGGGCTATCTTGCCATGCCAGCCATTACAGGAGCTCACAGGGTTCACAGATGCTGGATAAGACTGGTGATAACTTGTCTCATCCAACAGCAAACATGTGACCTTCCAGCACAGTGAAATCTTGTCATTGCCAGCTTGATTTCTCCATGTTTTATGACTTGAGTATGTTGTATCATCAGCAGTAGGATTACTATCAAATTCTGTAGAATAATTGCCAAAAAATTATAACAGCCTATAATGGTTGGGGGTCTATGGAGCCAACAACTACAAAAGAGATGACCCATTCCTGGCATTTGGGCTTTATAATTGTTAGCCTGGCGTCCTTAGTAGGGGCACTGTCACCCTGTTGTAGGGATAATTCCCACTTAAACTCTCATGTATTTATACATGTATATTTTAGAAAGCTTCTAAAGTAATAGGTTTTCATGTGGCTTTTTAGATACCTTTAGTGTTAATAATCACTCCCCATACTCCCTTCTCTCCCTGGCTCTCCCATTCTTAGCCCCCACTTAACCCCACGTGTTCAGTTAGTACTCTTTCCTTTTCATGTCAACTGCAGTCTGTATCCCACTTCCCTTGAAATCTACTTTCTTTTGCTGGCCCCTTCATAGTTTCTTGATCTCTATGGGGACTTCAATTTAAAACACATATCTAAAGATTCAGAGTTAGCATTCACATATGAGAGAGAACCTAAGATATTTGTCTTTCTGGTTCTAGGCTACCTCACCGAGAATGATTATTTTCAGTTCTATCTATTTACCTGAAAATTTAATAATTTCATTTTTCTTTACAGCTGAATAATATTCCATTTTATGAATGTATTACATTTTCATTATCCATTCTTCAGTTGCTGAATGTTCAGGCTCTTTCCATTTCATGGTTATTGAGAATTGAATAGCAATGAGCATGGATATACACATATCCGTATAGTAGGATGTAGACTACTTCTGGATGTATGCCCAAAAATGATATGGCTGCGTCATATAGTAAGTTTGTTTGCAACTTTTTTTGAGAAGAGAGGATGTCTTGCTTATGGTTTCTATTGCTGTAATAATAAACCGTGAACAAAAGCAACATGGGGACAGCAGGGTTTATTTCAGCTTATCCTTCCAGATAACAACTCATCATTGGTGGAAGTCAAGACAGAAGCTCAAGCAGGGCAGGAATCTGGATGCAATAACTGAAGCAGAGACCATGGAGGAACACTGCTTACTGACTTGATCCTTATGTCTTGATCAGCCGGTTTTCTTATACAACTCAGGACCCCCATGTCGAAGGGTGGTTCTGCCTATGGTGACCTGGGACTTCCCATATTAGTCATTAATCAAAACAATGCCCAGCAAAATTGCCACAGGCCATCTGATGGAGACATTTTTCCAACTGAGGTTTATCTTCAGAGATAACTCTAGTTTATGGTAAGTTAACAAAGCAACAATAACACCAAACAGGACAGAGGGCACAGATACCCTATCTGTGTCTCCAGGCCGTGTGGGCAGCTGGAGAGTTCCTGTGGGGAAAGTGGGCTGGGACCCAAAGGAGAAGCTTTTACATCTCATGCAGATTTCAGAATCTTCAACATCTAGAGTTTCTTTGCTGGTGGTACTGAGGAAGAGAATAGGCCAGGAATTTGAGCACAATTGAAACCTCCTCCTCAGCATTCTGTTCATTTTCCCAAGCTTTCAAACTTGGCAGATGCTCTCAGAGGGGAATGGGTTAAGCCTTAGCTCAGCCACCCTTTTCCTATTCCAGCTTTTCCTGTGCCTGCTTCCCACTGCCAAAAGGAAGCAATCCTTCCAGCTCTCCTTAGTGCTAATGCTACTGTCACTCACAGGAGATAAACTTCCATAAAATCCTGTGAAAAATATTTAGGACTTTTCACTAAATCATAAATGTTTTACTTTTTTCTTCTTCTTGAAAGCTGAAGATATTTTAGAAAAGAGTTAAATTTTCACTTCTCTAGTTGAATGGGTTTTTTTTTTTGTTTTTGTTTTTTGTTTTTTTGTTGTTTTTTTTTTTTTGTAATAAAAGCCATGCAAATAGCACTTTTCACTTGCTTCTTTCTGGGCCTTTTCAATTTCTGTTCTAGTGCCACCAGAAGATACTACTTGGGTGCAGTGGAACTGTCCTGGAACTATATGCAGAGTGACCTGCTCAATGTGCTGCATACAGAATCAAGGTAAAAATGCTCTTTCAAGTACAACATTGTGACAGTAGGACTTTGACTAGAAGAAGGTGCATTGTTTTCTGTTGCTTGTTCATTGATTCTTTATTGCATGCTGCCAGTCTGCAATTTAGAGAGAAGGGAGAAAATGAAGAGGCAATGAGCATGAGACAAAAAGAATAGAATTTCCCTTGGCCAACCCAAACCTTCCATAAAAAGAATAAGAACAGTGAATTCTCAGGAGTGTGCACATGGTGTTTATATGGTAATTGCATGGTGCCGAAGCCTTTCATTTTTAGAAGGCATTCTGAGATTACACTGTTAAAAAGGAGCTTCTCAGTATTATAATAATGACTTACTCCAATTTTTGTGCCTCTTCTTAAATCTATTATACCTTGATTTGATAATGTATTGAAATTGAATTATATACTAGTCTATGATTTTGTTAAACTACTGTCTATATTTATGTCTCTTTTATCATTCTTTATCTTTCTCTCCTCCATCCTTCAATCTTTTTCTTTCCCTCCTTTTAAAAATAGGACATTTCAAACAAACAAACAAACAAATAGATAGGATATTTCCTGACTTTATTGATTTTTGTCAACAAGTGCCTTTTGGGTGGATATATCAATTCTTTTTTTCTTTAGTTTCTGCTTTTTAATTTAATGAATCAATTCTTTATAATATTATTTGAATCACATTATTATTCTACTTTTGTTTATCAAGTTGAATGTTGCAATTACTTATTTTATATTTAACTTTGTTTCTCTTCCTGTAATTTCTGTTTGTTTGTTTGTTTGTATGTTTGTTTGTTTGAGACAGGGTCTCATTTTGTAGCCCTGAATGTCCTGGAACTCACTTCATAGACCAGGCTAGCCTTGAACTCATGGAGATCACTTCTGCCTCTGCCTTCTGAGTATTGAGTTAAAGGCATGCACCACCATATGGGGCTTTCATTGTGTTTCTTTAAATGTGTACTATAAAGATTTAAACACAACAAAGAATATGAAAGCAGAAAAATCAGGAATTTAAGGCCAAGTTTGGCTATATATTGTGTTCATGGCCAGCTTGGGCTACTGTTGACACTTTCTCAAAATACCAAAAGAGAGAGGGGGATTTAAACACAATGTGTGTATTATACTAATGTAAATGCTACATATAGTCATATAATACATACTTTATAAATATTTTGGTTTTGTTTTACTTCCTCATCTTTCATACCACACAGGCTTGTTCAATACACACACACACACACACACACACACACACACACACACAGAGAGAGAGAGAGAGAGAGAGAGAGAGAAGAAAGGTTTGCTCGGTCATTATTAATTTTATAAAAATGGGATATTATGATACTCTATATACATTTTCACTAAGTAACATTTAGTTGAATTCTGTCCAGGTCAGTAAAAAAAGATGTAATTCTTTTTTAATTTAATTTTTATTAATTACATTTTATTCACTTTGTTTCCCAGATGTAGCCCCCTCTCCCATCCCCTCTCTATACCACCATCCCTCCCTCTTCTTCTCCTATGCTCCTCCTCCAGTCCAATGATAGGGGAGGTCCTCCTCCCCTTCCATCTGACCCTAGGCTATCAGATCTTATCAGGACTGGCTTCATTGTCTTCCTCTGTATCCTGGTAAGGCTGCTCACCCCTCAGGTGGAAGTGATCAAAGAGCCAGCAACTTAGTTCATGCCAGAGAGAGTCCTTGTTCCCATACTGGGGAACCTTCTTGGACACTGAGCTGCCATGGGCTACATCTGTGCAGGGGTTCTAGGTTATCTCCATGAATGGTCCCTAGTTGGATTATAAGTCTCAGAAAAGACCCTTGTGCCCAGATTTTTTGGTTTTGTTGCTCTCCTTGTGGAGCTCCTGTCCCCTCCAGGTCTTTCTATCTCCCCTTTCTTTCATAAGATTCCGTGCACTCAGCCCAAAGTTTGGTAATGAGTCTCAGCATATGTTTTTATACCTGCTGGGTAGAGTCTTGACAAGACATGTTGGAGAGGCTGTGGAGAAAGAGGAACCTTACTACATTGCTGGTGGGAATGTAAACTTGTACAACCAATTTGGAAATCAATGTGGCGCTTTCGCAGACAATTGGGAATAGTCCTATCTCAAGATCCAACTATACCACTCCTAGACATTTATCCAAAATATGCTCAAGTATACAATAAGGACATTTGCTCAACCATATTCATAGCAGCTTTATTTATAATAGCTAGAATCTGGAAACAACCCAGATGTCTCTCAGTTGAGAAATGGACATAGAAATTATAATTCTTTTTAATGTCTGTATAAGAGCTGGGTTTTACAAGTAAACACATTCATCTCATTACCATTTGGGTAGAGATGTCTCTATTCTATATCATTTTGTTCTGATGTGTTTGTTCATTTACTTACTACTTCATTTTATACTGATGTGTTCATTCATTTACTCACTAATTCACTCATTTTGTGTTACTTGGGGTTGACTTCAGGTAGTCATATTTTATTCATAAGTGCTTTATCACTGAGATATAGCCCAGACACATTGTTGTTATTTTAGCAGACAGATTCTCTGGTGCTATCTTACTGAAACAAAGTAAATAATTTTATTTTAGTTTTTTGGTTTTTGACTTTTATTGATAAATTTATGTATTCACTTTAAATCTCAAACACAGCCCCAAGAGAGGGTCTCTCTATATATCTCCACCTGGCCTGGGCCTCACTATGTAGACCAGAATGGCCTAGAACTCATAAAGATCCACCTGCTTCTGCCTTTTAAATTCTGGAATTAAAGGCTTGTGCTACCACAACCTGCTGCTTTAGTTTTGATTTCTAGAAAGTTTAAGACTCTTCATACATTCCTATCTTCAGAGCATGGGGTTGTTATTACCTCTACATTTGCATCAGGAATAAGTCTTACATTATTGAATGTTTTCAGCCTTATAAGCATATAACAAATACTGTATCTTTAATTGTAGTATTTTATATCTAATGAGGTTCAGCACCTTTTAAAATGCATGTTGCCTATCAGAGTTGATTTTTCAGATTTTGCTTTTTAAATGTTTCACCTATAATTCTTTGGGGTCGTACATTATATTTTTTTAAAAAAAAATATGTACACTTAGTGTTTGGCATACATGTATATCTGTGTGAAGGAATTGGATCCTTTGGAACTTGACTGACAGACAGTTGTGAGCTGACATGTGGGCACTGGGATTTGAACCCAGGTCTTCTGGAAGAGCAGCCAGTGATCTTAACTGCTGAGCCATGTCTTCAGCCCGGGCCTTCCATTTTTTAAAGTGTGAAAATACTTTTATTACATATATTCATTATCCTTTATGTATAATTTCTCCTAAGATTATCTATCTCTTGCCTTACTTTATAAATTATCAAAATATTTAATTTTTATAGTCAAATATGCATTTTTTAAAATATGCATCTTTAAATTTGACAGTTTTGGTTAAAAATGTCTTCTGTTACCTAAAGGTCCTTCCAGATTTTTGTGTGTCTTTCCAGATTTTGTTGTAAGAATTTTACATTTATGACTTCAATTTATCTTGACATTTTAGCTAAATTTCCATCTGTGTCAGTAGCCTATTACAATGGCACCAACACACTCAGCTCTGTAGCTTTATTTTTATTGTCATCATTGAGTTTTGGTATTAAAGTTTGTTTCAATTTATCATGTAAATAGATAAATAGGCCATCTTTTTCTATAGAATTACCTATCATTTAAATATTAGGCGAGGCTTAATGATTTACACTTGGTCTCAGTGATATTTAGGATAGTGTTAATAAGATTTCCAGTGGACAGCTCTTTCAGTTTTACAATTGCTTTATTACCAGTGTTTTACTTTTTCATGAGTCCTTTACATTGTCTGGAGTTACATGCCCTTAAATTCCTGTGTCTTTGCCAGCTATCTGTGAATAAGCTTGCCAAAAATTTGCCTGTTTTATTGTTGTTGGTCCTTTGAAAGAATCGGTTTGGAGGTTCTATTTTGTTTGAGACAGGATCTCATGTAGCCCATATTGGATTCCAACTAGCTATGTAGATGAAGATAACTTTGAATTTTTGATCATCATGTCTGTATCTCCCAAGTTCCTGAATAACAGATATGTGCTACAAAACCTAACATTTCTGAGTTGTTTTTAAATGTTTCATTATTTTTATGTTCAATACATATTATCTCTTCTTAGTTTCTTTTTGTTTATCCTGCTATATTTTCCATGCGTATGAAAAGTAATATGTTACTTCCTTTTTCCACCTTTGTCTTATATTTTTTGAGGATTTTATACATGAGTAAATTGTATTTGCATTATTTTTACCCCCTTATTTGCTTCTAACTTTTCTCATGTCCCCCCAACTACTCCCTCTCAAATTTATGCATCCATGGGTACAACATGCTTGTTCTGTCCAAAAGACACTATATTATAAAGCAGTCATTCTGGTCGTCAAACTCTTACAATCTTTCTGCCTATTTTTCCACTATGTTTCCTGAGCCTTAGATATAGACACTTTGTTATAGATGTCCCATTTGAGACTGGGTCCCACGGTCACCTATTCTGTGCATTTTGACTAGTTGTGGCTCTCTCTAATACACTGTCTGTTGAGCAAAGAAGCTTCTTTGATGAAATGTCAGAGCTTACTTATCTATGGTATAAGGATGGGTATTTAGAAGGCAGGTGGAAACTATATTGCTTTAGTGGTAGGATTGTAATAGGTCTTGTAGATCCTATTATCTCTGCAGCCAAGTGTTCTTGGATAGGCAATGAGTTCCCTCCAACTGAACGGATTTTAGATCCAATTAGGCAGCTGTAGGTTACCCCCAAGATACAAGTGCTACTATTGCACTATTGAGGCATCTTGCTGGTCACATCATTGTTGTGGTTCTTAGACTTTAAAGCTGGGTGGAAGTGATGATAACTTTTCCTTCTTGGTAGCTATGAGTGCTAGCCCTCAGGGAAGGGGTTTCCAGGTAAGTACTAGCTCAATTCCTCCAAGTTCTATGACCAAAGTGTGTAGTA